CTCCCTGCGCATCCATGCAGCCTAGCATGGATGAGAGCAGGGAGAGCAGCAATAACCACCCAGGGTAAGCAGAACAGAACCTAAATAAATGCATTGCAGATATTGTTAAAGTTCAATAATTTTATGTACACATTTTAGAATTAGTCTGATTCAAAGGAGAATCAGAAGGCTGAATCCTGACTGACAGAGGAGGAGTTGGGGATGGAGGAGAGTAATTAGCTATTGAGCAATGCGAAAACTGCTGATAATACTGAGGGACCTTATATATTAGATATGATAGGCTTAGATAGGTGTCGTATTCCCATAGGTAGATGGGGATCAGATGAGAGTCAGCTGATGTGAGCTTGACTAACGTGACCTGCCAGAACTAACGCTATGCTTGATATATATTTACATATACAGGGCCTAAAGCTAACTTTTTGCCAAACCTGCCAATGGCCGGTGACATGATAACATTTACTGGCCAAAAAATGTTTTTACCGGCCATTAAACTCTTTTTGCAAAAACAGGCAGTCATTACTACTACAATGACTAAACATATTTACAATGTTTTTAATTTGTCCTTTACTTTACTTACAAGAAAACAAACAACAAACAGATTTATTGATTTATCTTTTTTTTGTCCCTAAAAATGCTGAGATTCTTGTCCTTTGCATGTTTTCGGCAACGCCTGTGTTACGCCTGTTTCACACATACTCAGTTTGCAGTGTGTATGTGGTGCATTTTTTTTTCCCGCACCCATGTTAACGGCTTAGAGCAGGGCTATTCAATTAGCTTCATTTGAGGGCCAGATTATCGAACTGAAAATTTGAAGGGGGCCAAGGGAGTGGGGTCCTGATCTCTTTCTGGGGGGACCTATAAAATTAGAAATTAAATTGAAATCTAAAATTTATAAAAGGTTAACATTAGTGCTGTCTTTCAATCGATTACAAAAATAATTAATCACACATTTGTGTAGTTAATCATGATTAATTGCATTTTTATATTGTCATAATTTCACATTGAACCTCTAAATTAATGTAGAAACAACAAAGATAGTATATTTTAAATATGTTTTTAATGGCATCTTTTTACTAAGTTGACTATTATTAATGAAGAATTGATACCAATACTGCTACTGGTGTCTCTATTAAATTAACTTTCCCTCAATTTTCCCTATTAATTATATCTATTCAACATTACAGGATAATTGAAAGCACTTATTTTTAACAGTTAATAGGCTCTGAAATATTAAGTGATGTTAAAACAATTTTCACATAAATTATAAATTTGTATAAGCATAAACTAAACAGATTAATCTTTATTCAAGCTACAAAAGTTAATCAGCGACTAGAGCAGTCAAGTGATTTCTCTTTTTCTTTTGTTCTTTGATTTACATCAATCACAGACTTTAGCAGGTTTTACTTTAAGAGCAGCGCTGTCTCTTTAAAACCTGATGACGCGGATCTGACACATTTCCTATTTTCTCTAAACTCTTTACGGTCATTTAAGACTTAATAACTCATTTAAGGTAACTCCGAGGTAACTCGTCAAAACCGCATATTTTGACAACTGTGTGTGTTTTCGCGCTGTTGGTGAACTGTCTAAAGTGGCTCAGCATATCTGTACTTCACTGCACCGTTTCTGCGGCGAGGGTTCTTTTCTCAACACTCCTCAGCGCTGAAAGTGAACACTCGATGGTGATTGGCTAATTTTTTTACCAACGGAGGCACAAGAGCTCAGCTCTCCCCCGGCCTCCCCCTCCCCTTTTCTATCATTAACGGTAGTGATGGGAAGTTCGGATCATTTTACCGACTCTGACCTTTGAGTCTCTTCCAGCAAAATGAACATCTTTTTTCGAGTCATTTCGTTCATTTTAGCAAAATATAATTAAAATGTTACGTGTTACTTCCCTAACACGTCTACTACTTACGCGAACGTTGATCACACTACAAACAATACAAAACTATAATGCTATAAGTTGAATTCATTGTTTAAACAGAAACAGAAAAGATTAATTCATTGTTTACCTGGGTCTTCAGTCTATGATTAGCTCACCTCACCTCTTATCTGACAAGTCTACGAACGATTCGAAAGACTCGAGAGATGAACTAATCAATTCTCTTTCTGGCTCAGACTGCATAGGTTAAGCTTATGGGGCTGTCACGGGATGAATGAACGACTCAAACCCGAAGACTCGAGAGATGAACTAATCAATTCTCTTTCCGGCTCAGAGTGCATTGGTTAAGCTTATGGGGCTGTCACTTGATGAACGAACGACTCGAAAAACCAGAAGACTCGAAACAGGTGAACTACTTGACTAATTTCAGTACAGAACCTATAGGATGTTGTGCATGCACTCCCCGAGACGACTCATTCAAGAACGACCCATCTCTACTTATGACAGAACAGCTAATCACGATGATCTGGTCTTCGGAAAAGATTATTTTATTTGCTTATGTCAGAAACAGCGAATCTCTTTAAAAAATGGCTGTTGTTCTCACTACATTGCATTTGTTATATTTCGTAAAAGTTTTACTCGCCAACTGGTGATTGACACTGTTACATGCACTCACCAACGCCGATTTTTACTCGCATT